CTTTATCCTCGCTTTACTTCAATGTTATATTTGCTGCCTTCCCACTATTTGGCCGCTTTTCCCTTTATGTCTGCACTACCTTAGGATTGTGCCATTAGTGTTCTGACCCTCTGCTGTCTGAAGTCGCAGGCCCGAGAAACAGGGCACTCAATAGGACCTTGCAACTTCACTGCCTCATATACTGCATATCTAAGCCAAACTGAAATAAGCTGATACCTGGAAATTTCTTTTTTTTAATTAAATCTTCTATGGATCAGTTGTAAATCAAAGACAAATCTTTTCTTTCTAAAAAATGAACTTGTCTTAAGCAGTCATAACTGTAATTTCATAAATATGATATGAAAATAAAAGTGTATTATTATTGTTAAAATAAACAAGTAATAAAAATTATATTTTAAAAAAAAGATATAAAACAAGTTTTAGGGGCTAGTAACACCCCTGATCAAAGATGCCTGGCTGCACTACCTCCTCCCACCTGCACTTACATGAATAATTCACATTGGCTTAGTGATGCAAAATACACATAGGGGTCTATTTTCAAAGCATTGAAGGTTACTTTCACCAAACATTTAATAATGGTAAATTAAATTTAAAACACAAGCACCTCACAGATTCACAGTGAATGTTTGCTGAATGTCAGATTCACAGCTTTATAAATATGCCCGCTGGCAAATGGCAGGTCTGTGAGCATGAGCACCTTGATGATGATATGGGAGGGAGGAGAACGACCAGATTTGTTCAAGCTAAAAGTCCACAAATGCGGAAAAACAATTTATCTTTACAGCAGCGATGTGCAGACAGAACACACATCGAACAGACAACATGTTGAACCTGGAGGATGAGTTCCACCAACAGGGAACCATGCCAGCTTCCGCTCCTGACAGCTAAGCACTAGACAAATAACCCATAATAGGCACTGGATCACGGATTTAACACTGTAAAACCACTGCCAAGTCTGGTGACTTTTGAATTGTCCAACAATGTGCAGATGGTAGGTTTACTATTTGGCATAATGAATGCTTTGCGATGAGGTGGAACACTGGTGGTTCAAAGCATAAATGTGTGATGGATAAATCTGGAGGAAACACATGATATTAAGCATGGTCCAAGATGCACATCAACGTTTTAGTACCTGTTTGAATCAAGCCAACAAAGGATTTCTATTTGGGAGGTATCCATCCCAGCAACTAATAATCTGCCCTCAGATGTATATGAATGTCACTTGCACAGATATTAAATATGTCAGTTTTGACCATGATACTAGTTTAATTTGAATGAGTTTGTACAGTTTTATAGCTTCGTTCTGCATTCATCTAGTGAGTGAGCCATGAACACAAATTCCCTTTTCCTCTCACAGAGCCCTCCCCATCACACAGACATATTATGTGCTCCACTATGGGGAAAGGTCATTATTCTCCTATTTCCTCAGCTTAGGAACTGCAATTAATTTCTTGAAATGTCTAAGAACTTTTACAAGTAGATCTGTGGAGCCTGAGTCACATTAAAATAAATGGTGTTGCTCAGTGGATGTTTTGTGGTTTACAGACTAATAGTTATGTCGGCTCTGGCTCAGGGGTATCGCAGGCATAAATCATTCGGTGCAGGGAAGTCATTTGAGCTTCTTATCACACTAAAATGGCATTGCAGCTGCTAAAATGACATCTCACTCAGAAGGCCAAAAGCAAATGAAATAGTGGATGTAAATCACATGGCAGCGCAGAACAAATCCATCCAAAATGAAATTTCAGTGTAATGTGGGGACCAGAACATTAAAATCCGCAACACAGCTTGAAGTTACCAAGGGCAAATAATTTTTCCAAATCTTACCTTTTGTATCACAAAGTAAAGGAAATCATCACAAAACCAGACACCATTGCTTAAGGTGGATGTGCGATTCATGAACTTTTTAGACAGCATACTTCAAGGAAATTATGGTAAAGTCAGAAAGTTCACTCAATTTACCTTAATCTGACATCGGTTTAGTAAGCACACTTCTGTACATGAAGGCAGTGTGACTGTTGTGTAAACCTTATTGCTCTCTGCTTCATTCATCACCAATCACAATTAAGCTTTCAATGCAGTTTTGAAATGGATCGGTGGATTGGCTTTTTTAAGTTAAAGGAGAACTATGGGGTCAGGGCTTTTCCCCAGAGTTCTCCTAAGGGTAATGGGAGGACACAAACTAGCGTCCTCCCGTCACCCTAAGCTCAGTATACCGCGAGCTACAGCTCACTGTATACTGAGACGCCGCAGCTGAAGCGGATCCCGACAATTATGTCTGGATCCGCCCAGCTGCGTGAGTGACAGCTGGCTCTGCCTATCTAGAGACAGAGCCAGCTGTACCCGCCCCCTCCCCCGTCCAATCCGCCAGTCAGCGCTGGAGGATCGGAGCGGGGAGGGGGGAATCCAGCCCCTCCCCCTGTCACGGCAGAGAGCCGTGACAGGATCGAGAGGTGAGCGAACGCCGGTATGTGTTCGCTCACTTCCCGATCTATTGAGCCGACCTGTGACAGTCTTATTGTCACAGGTCGGCTAGAACTATGAGGCAAGTGAAAAGCACTCACCTCATAGTTCTCCTTTAATGTAATTTTTTACTTCGGGCTTTGTGTGTTTCAGAGTCATCAGATTACAGAAATAAAAGAGACTAGGGTGGGCAGGAGTACTGCAGCAATGCCTCGGCAAAACACTTAACTACTCAGCAAGTTATCTGTGCTTCCTGTATTTATCTCAAAGTTTAATTTTCAGTTTTGACTTGAATTTGCCTATAGGAATAGGAACAGAAAGCCACACTCCAGTCAAAACTGTAAATTAAAGAAGACCTAGCACCAGATATATTTTTCATTTTCATGTCATGTGCAAGCATACTGAGTATTTTGTAAGTGTAACACAAGTTTATTTATTACAGGCATTTGTATAGAACCAACAATTTACTCAGAGATTTACATATTGTACATTCACATGAGTCCCTACCTTCAAGGAGGTTAAAGGAGAGCTATTGGGAAAGTAAAATATACTCTTCCCCATAGTTTGAGCTGACATGTGACAGCTGCAGTGTATAGGGATGTGGGCTGTATAGCTTGAGAACTGAGCGATCACAAAGAGCTGATTGCTCAGCTCACGGCTTCTCCCTGCAGAGAGTGGTGACTATCATTCCCCAGCTCCCCAAAGGGATAACCCCTCCCCCTCTGACTTTTCCTCCAGTTTTTTTGGAGGGACAGATAGGGGAGGGGGCAGTATTGTTCAGATCTTTAACCTTTTCGCTGCCAAGCCCTCCGGAACATTTTTCAAATCAGCTGGCCAAGCCATTTTTGAAAATAGCACGTCCTTGCACTGTCAGCATATATGCCGAGTTTGGGTCACAGGAGGGCTTTAGTAAATGTGCTCCCCTGACCCAAAAGAGAACTATAACAAAAAAAAAGTTTTGCTACAGTTCTCTTTTAAAATGTAAGGGTCCCTATCTCACATAAATACATACATGCACATTCATACTAGGGCTACATTTGTCGACCAATTAACCAAGCAGCATTTCTTTGGAAAGAACTAGAATACCCTTAGAAAGTCCAATCAAACACAGGGAGAGCTTGCAAACTCCATGCAGATAGTGTCCTGGCCGGGTTTCAGAGTGGCAACCCAACTTATGTAAGTGCTAACCACTAAGCACAGTATGTCCACAAAATGCCATCTTCTGCTTTTCTTTTAAAAAACATAGCAGAATCTTTGTTCAGGCATCATCTGGGGTCAGTACCTATTCCCTGGACTAAGATTATGGCTCAGGGATTACACAATCACATAAATCGTGGTGCCTCTGCAGTTCTTGCCTGGCATAGACCAACTCTTAAAGCAACCTCTCACCCTGTGCTTTACTACAGTTACAATGTTGCAGTCTAATTAATTGGGGAGAGGAGACAAGGAATGCTTCCTCCTGCTTGCAGCTGACTGATGAAGCCTTACTTCAGTGGAGCGCAAGGACTGCTTATTTAATGATAACACAAAAAAGAGATTTATTTTTAAATATACTGTAACTGTATATTGTGACATGTCGGGAATGTCATGCAGACTTGCAAAGTTCCCAAAAGATCCACTTTAAGCCTTGTATACAGGGAGCACAACTTCATTCTCAGCATTTTTCACTTCAGTCTTAGTAGTTTTTCATCCAGGCAAAAGTGCATCAGTCCACCTTAGTCTCTTTTTGTCGCTGAACCCCTACTTGTGATGCAAGAGAGGAACACCCAAATACTTCCGCTAAAGACTTCTTGCTGTCTCTTCAGCCACCAATCACATTCACGCCTGCTTCAGAATTCTGAATATGGTTAGTGATACAGAAAACAGAGAGGAAAAAAGGTGAACAGGACAGTTGTCATGTAGAACCTTCACCCTTGCAAAATAACTGATCGTTCTGCCATAACGCAGTGAGTTGTGATATCCTCAGAGCACCTTGAAAGAAGTTTCACCTGCTATTATTATTAAAAGCTCAGCCACCCAAGTCCCACATTGTATATTGCTTTTTATCCCATGCTTCTGTGGAGAGTAGAAAGTGAGATATAGACTTTGTCAGCTCACTCCTCTTCATTGCTGACCATGCTCCGCAAAGGAGATGGACTCTTGATTGACAGCTCATATCTCACTGTCCCTGTACTTTTCAGACACAATACAAGGCTCCTCTTCCAGTATTAGTGTCTGTGCTGATTCCTGTGAGAGTGTGTTCCCTCCCTATGAATTCTTGTGACCATGCTTGTGTCTGGAAAGTGCAGGGACAGTGAGAAAAGAGTTGTCAATCAAAAGTCTATCTCCTTTGCAGAAAGTGGTCGGGAATGAAGAGTGAGCGGTCTGTATCTCAGTTTCTCCAGCACACAGTAGCATGAGATAACATACAATGTGGGAATTAGGTGACCGAATTGTGAGAAATACAAGGTGAGACAACTTCTTAAAAACTACAGTAGGAAATGAAAGTGGATTTTACACATTAAGTATTAAGTTGTTATTATAGGAGTAAAAGTTACCTTTTGGTGATACTCCAGAGCATCCAGTTCACCTTGATTTAGGGCATTTGATCTTTTACGTTTCTGTAAGATTCAAGAAAAAAATTGTTACATAATGTGCCTTATTGTCACTGGATGACATTTCTTTGTGGGGCAGCACAAACAAGCATCTGAAGCTGAATACAGGACACATAAGAAATGTAATCTCTTATTATATTATTATATACAAATAACCCATTTGCAGAATGCAGATTTAAATTATGTTTCAAATAAGCAATTTATCAGTGAGGACTTAAGATCAAGTTAAGTTTCCAAATGTTACAAAAAAAAAAAGAAGAGTAAAAAAATTAAAACAGCATACTGTTAAAATGACAATTTTCCAATAACTTTTAAAGCAAATGTATAAACATTTTAATGCATTCTCCTTATTTTGTTAAATAATAATGAAAATAAATACATTTTAAAAACTATTGGGTTCAGAAATATATTACTGGAACAGATATTCATAATAATTTAAGCTTAAAGTGGACCTTTACACTCAAAAATCAAATTCTACCAATGCATCCCTCTATGTATGATGATTGATAATAACATAGACATGTCAGGTGTAAAATGCTGGGATTATGAAATACTTGCAGAGCATTCACTTCCTGCTTTGAAAGGCCAAATGACTTCAGTGTGTTAAACAATGTATACTGGGATTGCCTTTTCATCAGCAGAGCATTGCTGGGAAATCTCATCTGTAATCTCAGGAGATCTCAGGGAAAGGCATTTCCTCCCCTAAGATGATGTGCATGGTCACATGTCCTAGTCACATGTGCCAGAAATCCAGGGCTAGTAATCTGCCCTTAGTAAACATGGCCACTGTCAGAAGACTGGGGAAGAAAAGAGAAATAAGGTATGCAAAGAATGCAAAGCCGGCAGTTATCTAGAAGTATGTGTGTGTAGATTGTCATTACTAAACATTCCTAAAGGTGTGTTTGTTGTTATTTTAACGATATGAGTAAAGTTCCGCTTTAATTCAAATTTTTCCTTATTGTGTCTCTCCAATAACAGCTATGGTTGGCCTTAATTGACAGTCTAGTACTATAATGTTCTCCGGTGATCTTTTTTGACTTTTCTTATAGTAATATTTTGTGAGACAATGTTATGCACGTCATTCTCCTCTATGCACAATACATCATTTCCTTTGTCCCACCACCTCTCCTTTCCATTCTTTTTCTTTCAATGTTTCGATTATTCCCACCTCACATTTGACATAAGATATTCTGCTCTCGAAGACATATTTGATGGGGGGACAAAAATATGTATACAGGTTTCTTTTCACATTTACCAGGCTAATCTGCAAGAGGCTCTCTCTGCTTGCAGGCTCTTCCAATTCAGCGGTGTCTGCATGCGGGTGTGCGCGTCCATAGACTTACCTTGCGTCTCTCCTTGTCATCCGGCCGAGAATCCAAACTGCGCATGCTCCCGCCCCAAGATGCTTTGCGACCGCCCAAACAGTTTTGGATTCTCGGGCGGGAGCGCGCAGCGAAAACAAGTTAAGTTTAAACCGCTGTTAAAGCGTTTTTTTGTTTTTTTTTACGTTTTTGCCTATATCTACTGCTTGATAGTAGTAGATATAGGCAAAAAAAACGGGAGGGTTTAGAACCCCTTTAAGTTTAAAAAAAAGTAATAAAATACAAATTTTAAAAATAATAAAATATATAAAACACTTTAAAAATAAACGTGATGAAGTAAAAAATAAAACTAAAAAAAAATTAAAATCAACCCAGCTGCCCCCTGCCGTAGGACATTGTGTGTGTGCGCGTTGAGTGCTGCCGCCATTCCATTGTGGTAGCCAGGCAGCAGAACTCTTACACACACACACACAATGTGCATTAAAGGGTAAGTTCACTTTCCCAGGTAATATGGGAAGATGGAATTACCCGATGGAATCTGGCCCCGTCTCTTCCAACTTGCCCCTCCTCCCCGCTATATTTACCTTTTGGCGAACAGTCCCTCCCCTCCACCAGTACGGGTGTACTGTCCAGCGCAGCCCTACCCTATGCATATTGCATTTCGCTCGCAAATTGCAAGCACTCATTGGTCAGCGTGGTCAGGTGACCACGCTGATCAGTGAGAAGCATTATTTAGCAGTCAAATACGTTTTAAGGATGCACAGATACTAGTATCAGTGCCGATACCGAGTATTTGGGCGAGTACTTGTACTCACCCAAATGCTCCGATACCTTCCCTGAAAATTTCCTCTGACCGGCAGTGCCGTAGGGGAAAATGGAGCCGGCTTCCCGGGCAATCAGGAAGCCGTGCAGCATGTAATGAACTGCCTTCTGGATTCCTGATTGGCCGGGAAGCCGGCTCCTTGCTGATTGGCTGGAAAGCCGGCTTCTCGGCCAATTAGCATCGAGTCGGGTACCCCGTCAATCAGGTCATTAGTCGCTGCCCGGCTTCCTGATTGGCCAGGAAGCCAGGTTGATGCTGATTGGCTGGGAAGATGGTTTTCTGGCCAATCACAATTAAGCTGGCCAAACAACATGGAGTCGGCTTCCCTGGCAATCAGGAAGCCGGGCGGCATGTCATTTCCCGCTGACCGGCTTCCTGATTACCCGGGAAGCCTGCTCCATGCCAGCGGAAGCAACAGTATTGGGATTCAGTATCGGCGAGTACCAAAAGCAAAATATCCATACTTGTACTTGATACCGAAATACCGATATTGGTGCATCCCTAGTTTTGATTAAAACTATTTTTTTTGTATTGGGACAAGTAGATTGTCATGAAGGACAAGTAGATTTGGCCCCCTGCTTTAGCTCTTGGACAAGTAGTTTTTTTTAATTCCACACCCCTGCTGACAGAATTAATTAGAGGTGAGAGACAGAGGCAGTCACAAAGGGAGAGAGAACACAGCTGTCTCTTGCACCCTGTATCACATGATGATTTGTAAAATAATGATTTAGTATAATGAAGATTCTACAAAGCATTAAATAAAAAAAAAAACTGTAAAAACTGATGAAAAACTATAGTGATCTGAGAAGGGTCAGAAGGGTTGTATGATTGTAAATACACAGTTTTAGCATTATGGACATGGGTCTCCATAGGCAGTCATCTTAGGCCGGCCAATTATGAACAAACACAAGTGTAGTGAATGAACATCTAACCTGTTACAAACAGGGTGAATGTTGCAATAAGCACCTATTCCCACTGAGCTACAGGTGTTGACAAATATCAGTGAAACCATTGACAGGGCTATTCACTAAGGCCTCATTCACACTGCCCTACAATACGCTGCGTATGTGCGCATTGTCCCATATGCAGCATATGCAAATAAATGGTTCCATACACATAGCTGCGTATGGAGCTGTATATTTGCGTACCGTAAAAACAGAACGGAACAGAGATGCGTCCAGGCAGCGCATTGCTGCGCGTATACGCACGTACAGTTCATTCAAATTTCTATTACGAATTATGCATTCAGGGATTGCATATAGTGCACGCATATGCGTACGTACACATACGCGCAATATACAATTTTGCTCTTGCGTTGTGTGTGAGGCCTAAAGGGTGAAGAGTTTGGAGAAGGCAGGAGAAGTGAACAATCTAGGACAGCATAGCTGAACTGGGAAGTGAGCTGAATTCTGTGGCAAAACCGGATGCCGCAGGTGAGGCTGAGCCTTTAAAAAAAACGCAGACTCCACCTCAATGAGCAGAGGCTCCTGTCCTGGAGACAGGCGCAGCAGGTGAAAGCTCTGCATAGTGTGAGTGAACCGGTACTCTCATCAGGCTCAGCACAGAGTAGACACGCTGCACCCGTCTGGCAGAGAGCTTAGAAATACTGAGACTGTGATTTCACCAGACTCACAGGGTTATTCACAAAAGGGTGAAGTGTTTGGAGAAGGCAGGAGAAGTGAACAATCTAGGACAACATATTTGATTTGGAAATATTCTCCAATTCAGCTCACTTTCCAGTTCAGCTATGTTGTCCTAGATTGTTCACTTCTCCTGCCGTCTCCAAACTCTTCACCCTTTTGTGAATAACCCTGTCACCACCGCACCCCCTCACACCCCAGAATGAAGGGGTGAAGTTTAGTGTGCAGCTACCACTCTGGAACACGCCATAATTGGTGTGAACTGGCCCTTAGTCCCACCCCCCACAGTCCCTACCTGAGTCCCAACTGAGGCAGGCGGCTCAACTGACCTCACGGGAGGTGTGGCCCTGTGTGCATCCAGTGGGTTCTGAATTCAGGTATGCCAATAGGGACACAAAACCATCTTGAAGTAGATAAGGAGGTCAACTGCAGGTTAAAAAGCCCTGTCAATGAATTCTGAATGAGCTCAGAAGCATTTCAAACTAATGATATCAACCTGAGGCAAAAGCCCATCAACACAGGTTTAATGGGTGGTTCAGCTCATCCTTTTTTACCATTATTTTAGAAAAGCGCCCAGCCCAGGCTCATCTCTAGTACAGTAAGCAGGCTGACTCTAAAGGTGGCCATACACTTTACAACCCTCGCAAGACTTTTGTCTTGCGAGGGTTGTGAAGTAATTTAAAAAAACGTACGATCTGCCTATCTTGGACAGGCAGATCGTACTCGCGATCATTGCAAGCCCGCCTCCTTGAGGGGCGGGCTTCCGATGACTGCAATGAGGGGCAGGCTTCCGATGACTGCAAACAGGCAGTGTGCGCACACCAGCCCGTTCGGCAGTTGTCGAACAAGCACGCCACTAACCCGCCGAGAATCGTACGATTCCCGGTGGGTTTTCCAGCCTGCTTGTTCGACGGAAGACGTGCGACCGTACAGTAGAAACGGTTGCACGCCTTCCATACACTTTGCGATTATCGTACGATAAGCATGCAGTGTATGGGCACCTTAAGTCCCCCTTCACACCATAGTGTTGCGGAAAGCACATTCCCGGGCGCTTGTTTCCTGCGTTTGGTGCACATGCCCATTGATGGGTCCCAGAAAAGTAGCACATTCTGCACAGTTCGCTCAATGTTTTCTTTCTGCACATTCTGCATTTTACAGAGGGGAAAACAGCTTGTTTGCTGGGCCACTTTGGGATTCCGTTAACTTAATGCCTGCATTTGGTGCATGTTTCATGAATACGTGTCAAAGCCCGCACTTTTGTGCACATTTAAGGTGCGTTCCTGATACACCTATGTGTAAACGAGGACTTAAGACAAGCAGAACATTCTCCACTATCAGCAGCCAAGTACCTTTCTGACAGCCTTGCAGCCGGCGGGCGCCCTGTCGTCACTCTGTGAAGCCGCATTCTGATTGGATGTGATGGAGAGACTCAGCGAGAAGTAAGGTTTAATCAGCTGGAACAGTTCATTCTTCACCTTGTATACAGTCCTTGTGTTCTCCTGTTCCTCATCTGTGGGGGATCTAGAGCCCAGGCCTCCCCCAAACTCATACCATCTATTTATTAGAGACAGTTCATCAAGAAGCCATCCTGCAGAGCTCTCACACAGCACAGCCATGAGTGTCAGGCACAGGGGACACACACATACTGTCACTGATCAGCCATGTCAGCGAACACAACACATAATGCAGACTGATGGCTCATAAACCTGTCACCAGATCGCTGTATTCACAACACATAACACGGCATGTACGTCCTACCGCTCGCAGATTTGAAGACACTTCTTCCTGTCCGGCGAATATTTCATTCCCCCTCGCACAGCCTTCAACACAAATCCAGTCAGCGGCAGCGCCATCTTGTGGCCATGTGTCTAATTGCAGGAATGCATTGTTTCCACGATCTGCTGCTTTATTCGCACGAAATTCACAACTGATTCGACTGAACTGATACATTTAAAGTCCTGAATATATACATTTATAAATATGACCCCCCCACCCGCGGTTAGATTTAAAGTTGAACTCCAGACAGATATAAAAACACACATTAATGCAGCTCTGTATTTACTAACCACTGTCTGTTCTTTTATGATATACACTTATTTATTTTGTATTTGAGGAGGTATTGTCATGCTTTTGCATTGGCAAAATTATTTGCATCCTTCTGGGTTGATAAAATTGAAGAACTCTGGGTAAAGTATAAACTTACTTTTGCAATGGGGCTACCCCCGCATTGCCAGGGTTAGGTGCTTGCTTTGTCTAGGGGAGTAAGATAAAGAAGATATACTCACCTGATCCTCTCTCCAGCTCTATTCCAGCTATGGAATGTAGCTTGGGGCCCTCAGATCTAATGCAGACCAATGGACCTGCAGTACACGTGATGACGTCACGTCAGCAATCCTTAGACCCTCGGAGCACAGGGGAGAAGAGGCTGCAGGGACCGGTCTAGAAGCCGAGAGGGAGCCAGCAGGACCGAGGATGAGGTGAATATATTTGCTTTATTTAAGTTCCCTAGACAAAATGGGCACTTAACCCTTGCACTGAAGGGTAGCCCCACTGGAAAGATATTTTTTTGTTTGCCTGGAGTTCTTCTTTAACCGCTTGAATAAATGTCATTTAAAGTACCGCAGCGCTAAATACTGCAAAATGGCCTGGCCAGGAAGTGGTGTAAACACCTGGTCAGCAAGTGGTTAAAGTGACACTAAACTCTGGAGTTAAATCTTAAAAATTAGGGATGCACCGATACAGGTATTTTGGTACCAAGTACGATTACCGATTATTTTTTTTAACCAACTACCGAGTACCGGAATGGCTCGCCACCTGGCTTCCTGATAAGCCGGGAAGCCCGGGCAGCGTGTAAAGAATCGCCACCCGGTTTCCCGATTAACAAGAAAGTCTGTCCCCTCTCACCTCAGCATGTCCAGCCTGTCACCCCTGGGGCCTCTTCAGCTAGGAGCGGCCTTCCTCCGGTACCCAGCCGGAGCCGTCTTGCTGGCCAATCATGGAAGCGGGGCGCCGTGTAATGACGCGGCGCCCTGCTTTCTGATTGGCCGGCTCCATGCTTCATTACACGGCACCCAGCTTCCTGATTGGCCAGCTTCCCGACCAATCAGGAAGCCGGGCAGCGCGTCATTACACGCTGCCCGGCTTGCTGATTGGCCGGGAAGTCTGCTCCATGCTCTCCCATCACAAGTGACGAGAGAGCATGGAGCCGCTTCCCGGCCAATCAGGAAACCGGGCAGCATGTAATGACGCACTGCCCGTCTTCCTGATACAGGAAGCATCGGAGCATCCGGGTGAGTACGAGTACTCATCCAAATACTCGGTATCAGCACCAATACCGATACTAAAAATGCAATCAAGTGCTCTAACTATTAACAAAAATGTATCTTATTTGTGTATCACTCGGCTGTAGATCCTGAAATTATCTCTGAATTGGTGCTGACACTGTCCTTCCTTCTGGAGGGTGGATACTTTTGTATCCACCCTCCAGAAGGAAGTGTGTGTTGTAAAGTAGCCACTAGACATGTGCGATTTGGTTCGTTCCGAAATTCGTTTCGGACAAATTTTCGGAAATTCGGATGCATCCGAATTCCGAATTACAGCTAAGACGAAGGCAAACGAATCCGAAAATTCCCGATTTCCCGAAATTCGTTATTGGACGAATTTCGTTGCAGCACAATGACATTAGAGGAAAAAATATGACAACATTTTACCTCTACAACACATCTATGCTTAAAGTACAGAGGTTATAGAGTAGTGGTTAAAGGACAGGCTTGCCGTGGGGTCCCCCCTAACAGTCCTACCAGACCCTTGATCCGAGCACAAGCGCGGCAGGGCAGGAAAGGGGGGGACGATCGAGCGCCCCCCCCTCCCTGCGCCTTACCAGGCCACGTGCCCTCGGCATTGGGTGTCCCCGTGCATAAGGTTCCAGGTTCAATTCCAGGGCAAGTCAAGTAATATTAAAAGTTTTTTTTTTTTTCATAAACGAATTTCGTCCGAAACTAATTTCATTTCGGACCCGAAAAGTTTAGCTTACTAATTTGTATTGAGACTGTAGTCCATCACGGGAGCGAGCTTGGAGTGGTGGCTACTTTACAACACACGCAGGGAATGTGGGGAACAAACTTAGCCACCCTCCAGAAGAAAGGACAGTGTCAGCACCAATTCAGAGATGATTTGAGGATCTACAGCCAAGTGATAACAAATAAGATACATTGTTGTTAATAGTTAAGGTACTTGAATGCAATCAATGGAGGAGAGGAAGATTTTTTTTGGTAGAGGAGACATTGTATGTCTCTTCTGACAAAAATCACCACCTCCCAGCAATTGTCTTCTATTTTCCCTCCATTTTACTGCTGCAGTCTCTCTTTGGCATTCGATACTTCTGGGAATGTCAGGCGCCTGTGTACCCAGCTCCGTACAATAATTTCACCCTTAACCCCCTGCATCACTATAGGGCTCGGCCGTGATGTTTAGGTCAGAGAATGGAACCAATCATGTTGTGGGGTACGCAGGCACAGTGCTGAAAGACGCTGCTTGGGAAGCCTTGTGTGATTTGGAATTGCTCTCAGTAAAGGTGCCCATCATCATACGATAATCGTGGGTGATCCCACGATCGTACGATAATTGGCAGGTGTATGGGTAGCGGGCAACCGTTTCTACTGTACGGTCGCACGTCTTTGGTCTTCTGAGCACGCTCGAAAACCTGCCAAAAATCGTAAGATTTTTCGGCAAGTTAGTGGCGTGCTCAGAAGACAAATGCTGAACGGGCCGGTGTGCATAAGTGCATACTGCCCGCTCAGCATTGGAATCATCGGAAGCCCTCCCCTCAGCGGGGCGGGCTTGCGGTGATCTCAAGTACGATCTGCCTCTCCAAGATGGGCAGATCGTACAAGGTTTTAATTACCTTACAACCACCGCACAACGAAAGTCGTGCGTGGTTGTAAGGTGTATGGCCAGCTTTACAGTGATGAGCGATAAAGCTTCCAGCAATGTACACAGGCCAAGTTTTCAAAAGGACCGCATAGCGCCTTCTCAGAGGATGTCCAGCATTTGAAGATTATCTACAGCCTTGTCTCAGGCTTTTAAAATTATTTCAGCTTTAAAGTAGTACAGTAAACTCCCAGTTATCCAGCACCCATAGGGGTTGGTAGACGCCGGATAAGTATACTTTCTGGTTGCTTGAGAGTTACTATTAACTCATAAGCAACACCCCCATCCCATTTATCTGCAGGCTAGATTCTGCTATTGGCTATTTTAAATTTATATAGCCAAAAGCAGGCTGGCTATTGCACACGCCCACTTTACATGCATTGTTTACATGCACCTGTAGGCTGCAGAATCTAGTTGTCGGCCGCAGCCAGATGTAAACAGAGAATTTTGTTGGCAACTAATACATTTAGTTGCTAACAAATTTTTTTTAGTGTGCACTTGTCTATCAAGCAACTGGCAAAAAAAATTGAGGATATATTATGTCCTCTGGTTTTTTTCTTCTGGTTGCTTGAATGTCGGATAAGTTGACCCCTGCAGTGAAGTTCCTGGAGTTCTGCTTTAGATTCCGTATGAGGTTCCTGAAGTTCTGCTTTAAGATTACACGGAGCAGCACTTGCTGATATATCACTATTTTGGTTAACATTTTTATTGGTATTATACATCCAGTAGGATTTTCTGATCCTATCCAGGTAAATTTTATCTAGACATCATTGTAATTAGGAGCGTGGTGTTTAAGCCGTTCTAGTTTTTATATAGTGTGTCCCTGGTGGATAATACACAGCAGCTGTAGGCTGGATAGCACCCCTGAGCGCAGGGTTTGTCATAACGTCACCATTTCAGTACACGCCTGTCTTCACCACTTCATTAGCAGGACATTTTCAGGGCTGTGATAGACTGACAATGACAAACGATGTAACAAAACAAAAATGGAAAACATTTATTTTATTTCATACCGTCTACATTTCAAAACAGGTAGTGATAATGTAGATTTGTTGACAATGGGACCAAAAATATGTTTCCACTACATAGAATGACAAGTATATACAGATAAAATACATTTTTAATGCAACAATGAAAAATGTAAAGGCAAACTCCAGGATTTATTAAAATGAACCCTTGCAGTGGGGCTAGGTGCTTGTTTTGGTCTACAAGTGAAAATACAGAAGATATACTCATCTGATCCTCAGTCATGCAGCAGTGACCGCTCACTTCTCTCCCCCTCCCACAGCATCCTTATACCTAATGGACTGCATTAGATATGATGATGTCCAGTGTCCTTAGACCAGGGGTAGCAAAACTCTGGCCCTCCAGCTGTGGTGAAACTACAAATCCCATGATGCATCTCTCTTCAGGAGTCATGTTGTCTGTGGCTGTGAGAATCTTGCAATGCCTCATGGGATTTGTAGTTCCACCACAGCTGGAGGGCCGGAGGTTTGCTACCCCTGCCTTAGACCATCAGAGCCCGAGGGAGAAGAGGCTGTGGAGAGCTGTCTAAAGCCAAGTGGAACCGAGGATCAGGTATTTCTTCTTAATTTTTAAGCTTTACTTTCAACAAAAATGAGACTTTAACCGTTGCAGGATCAGCTGTAGATCCTCAAATCATCTCTGAATTCATGCCGACACTGTCCTTCCTTCTGAAGGGTGGCTACTTTTGTGTGTGTGTTGTAAAGTAGCCACCTCTCCAAGCCCGCTCCTGTTATGGACTATAACGTCAATACAAATGATTAAATTAAACATGAGATAGTAGTCCATCACAAGAGTGAGCGCAGAGCAGTGACCACTTTACAACACACACAGGGACCATGGGGAACAAAAGTATGTATATTGAAAAATTGCTCCGTAATCAAGTGGTTAAGCCTTTTGCTGCTACATTCATTTTGTGCACCCATACTAAAATGCACATCCTGTACAAGAGCCACTTAAAATAGCAAAAGATTACGGAGGTAATTCATAAAAACTGGAGCAGACAGAATCTGGGGCAGCTGTCCACGGCAACCAATCAGCTATTCTCTTTCATTCTGAAAGCTTAACTGAACAAGCTAAAGAGAGAAGCTGATTGGTTAACATAAGAATATATCTTTCCTGAAAGCATAGACCCTGTAGAAAAAAAAATAGCAGTAGTTGCAATTTTTTATGTTAGACAAGTTTTATTCTCTTTATCAAATCAATATTTCCAGCAAAAAATAAAGTAATTGTATTATACACAAACGATATAATCCTCATTTTTGTTGTTGCTGCTTTAAGAGGTACAGTGGCAGCAGCTAAAGGGTCAATGGCAATCTCATTCATCCATATAGGTGTGGAGCAGTACAACAATGTAAATTATGTTGTTACATTATACATTGAGGGGAATTTATCAAAACTGGAGCAGACAAAATCTGGAGCGGCACTGCATGGCAACCAATCAGCTTCTCTCTTTCATTTTCAAATCTTAACTAAAGAGAGAACTCTCTTCAGTTAAGGAGAACTATGGGGTTAAGGCTTTTCCCCATAGTTCTCCTTAGGGTAACGGGAGGACACAAACCAGCATCCTCCCATCACCCTAGGCTCAGTATACCGCGAGCTGTAGCTCGTGGTATACTAAGACGCAGCAGTATACCGCCGCAGCTTCAGCATACCGTGAGCAGCTGCTCGCGGTATAATGCGGCGTCTCAGTATACCGCAAGCTCACCCTAGGTTCGCGGTATACTGAGCCTAGGGTGACGGGAGGACGCTGGTTTGTGTCCTCCCGTTACCCTAAGGAGAACTATGGGGAAAAGCCTTAACCCCATAGAAAATCACTCACCTCATAGTTCTCCTTTAAAGAACTCCAGTATTTGGTTTTATATAACCTTGCAGTGGGGCTACCCCCACACTGCAGGGGCTAACTGCTCAATTGCATCTATGTTAAAAAAAAAAAAAAAGTTTGCTCACCCAAAGCTCTGAGCCGGCTTCTTAGACTTGTCCTTCCAACATCTCTCCCCCTTCTCTGCAGCAGTCTAAGGTCCCCTAAATCATCATCCATACACAGTTTATAGACGTGAGGATGCTGAGGAATATTCCAATGCTGCAGGGAGGGGGAGAGAGACTGCAGGGAGTGCTTGGACAGATGGGCGACACAAAGCTTCGGTTAAGTATAACTTTGTTATTTTCGCACTTAAACCTTACAGTGCAGGGGTAGCCCTATTGCAAAGGTTAAGGGGAAAACATCCTGAAGTTCTGCTTTAAAGGCATTTTTAAAAGGTGTGTAACTCCTGAATTTAGTTTCACTTTAAGAGAAATGTCGCCGCAGCACATCTGACATCTCATGCGACGTGTGAATGCATGCAGCTCCCACATCACAGTTACATGAACGGGGGGCAAACACCGCTCCATTCTGCTTCTATAGTACAAGCAATGCATACAACCGCTAGGATCACACATACAAACCAGGCTACGCTCACATGTGAATGGGGGGACGTAACAGTACAGTGTCACATGCTCCCAGTGGAGGAATGAAGGTGCACAGGTCCATACAACGGACATGCAGCCGCCAGGAACCGCTGAAGTATTATACGGCAGTTCCATGGACGAAATACTAGAACAAACAAAGTCTTCTCTTTATCCGGAGCACACCATCGACAAGCCTCTCCGGTCTACAGCTCGGGCGGACGTGACGTCACGGGCACGTGTTTGAACCTGCTTCTGGTGTAGCTTCCCGCCGTGCTTCTCGGGAGCGGAGTTCTTCCTCTTCACTCACCGAGCGGCGGCCGCCCAGAAATGGCTACAGCGGGTGTAAGCCTGCCGGGCCAGAGCGGAGACGGCGGCTCTCTCCCCACCGTCTTCATATACGACTGCCGCTCAGAGCAGTCTGCGCGTGAGAAGAGCCTGGTGGTGCGCGGGAACTTCGCGGAGCTCCGTCAGGACGTGTGTCAGGTAATGAGGGTCATGGCCAGTGACGTCCTGGGAGGTGGGGACAGGTCAGGGGCCGACTTTCACTGGGGACATATGACTGCCTATAAGGAAGGCACATATGGGTCACTGCTCTGCGTCTATGGGGCCATTTATTAAAGGAGGCTGGTCACTTGGTTAAGGGAAGTGGAAATAAACTTTAAAAATAACACATTTAGAGCAGACAGACATGTTTCTTCTGCTTTAACCCCTTCATGACTGAGGCCCTTTTTTCAATTTTTGCACCCATGTTATATTCCACATTTTAGGCCTGAAAATGACGTAAAACCCCCCAACATTATATATTTTCTGAATGCCAAGACCCTATAGAAACCTGCTTGTCTGCAATTAGTAATGTGCGGGAATTGGTGGGAATAAAGTTCACCTGAGGCAAATAGGCTGAGTTCAAGCTTACACAAAACTGTCAAGCCCGTGACACACTGCACATGAAGCCGCTAACAGCAAAGTGAAGGTGCGAGGATATATGCATGCAGTGTTTGAGAGCTGGAGGAGCTGAGCACAGCGAGATGAAAGACTTTATCTTCAGCCAATTGGCTCACGTGTGTGAACTCCATAGGGTTCATGTCCTGATGAGCAGGTTCATATGCATGAGCCGATTGGCTGAATATTACATTTTTCGCCTCCGCTGTGCAAGCTCTCTCTTGCTGACGCACACGATAGGAAATTGCAAGACACACTGCACGCCGCCGATTTCCTTTGCTCTGGACGTCTTCTCATGCAGTGTATCACAGCCTTCGCTGACACACTCCCTCCAGTCTCAATCAGTTGCGGCAGGGTCATTCCTCACCCCACAGCTACGGGTTACAGGGCATGCCCTTAGAAGATACCATTCTGCTTTGGAATATCATGACATATAGATATTACTAAGACAGGGAATGCCCCTGCCGCAACTGATTGGGCTGGGAGGTGGGCGTGTCAGTGACAGTTTTGCTCATGAATGGGTGAACTTTCACAACAAGCCCCCATTTGCTATCAGAGATGAGGCTGGGCTTGATGTGAACCCAGTTCATCTGAGCTTGACCAAGCCCACCCAAATTTGTGACTGCCACCACCGACACAGACACTTTGGGGGTGATTTACTAACCTAAACACACGCACGCACCAGGTGTGTGTGATTTTCCACACAGCAAAACGTATTTATCAACCAAAAAGTCTCTAAAAGCATATTTCCACTAATGCCATATATGGAAAAATCATGCACATGATGCATATATAATGCTGCTTCACAGTTTAGACAAAAATGGTTAGCTCATGCATTTACATTCCTGCATTCATCAACGCAAGCAACATAACATAGAGCTAATTTACACCACATTACCTTGCAATTCATTGCAGGGCTTTGCACAACACACCTGCTGGGTGTGTACACACTACAAAGGTGTTTCGATTCCTCCCATAGATCATGCTGGGAGGGAACACACTACAGAGGTGTATACACGTTCATGGTGTGTTTATAAGGTTAGTAAATCAACCCCATTGTGTCTCTGCAATCCTCGCCCTTTGCAATACAACCGTACAGCCAAAATAAAACGGATCCGGATGCAAATTTTTCTCAAAGGAGCAAAATTCTAACAGTAAATGTGGTTGTTCAGGAAACTCCATTTGTTTCCTCAATCAAATGTTAAGACCAAGGGCATTCATCAAGTCTCTCATGGCATCGAATGTTCTGATGAGATATTTCGTATAAACGTTCGCATGAAAATCGACCAGTGTATGGCCGGCTTAAATCACCGTTTCTTTTTTTTGGCGTGTCTCTCCTATTGAAGCCTCTTGGGATATACATATGTCCTATTGGATACAGTCACTGTTCAGGTATTCCGACAGCCGTAAGGCTAGGTTCATACCTAGGCAACACCTCCCCGCGTGGCAATCGTGCGCGATTCCGCGCGGATTGATACAGTCAGGAGTCACCAAAGTGTGAACCGATCGCGTTGTGGGTGCCGTTATTTTCTAATGGCACCCCAGTCAAGCCGGGTGGATTGCGCGGTTTCCCGCCGCAATTTCGAACATGAACAGCTAAAACAGCCGTGCATTGCAGAAAGAAGGTACTTGTACCTTTTTTTTCTCCGATTGCCACGCGCATATTGCCCCATTGAAATCAATGGGGCCGCATGGCAATTGCTGCCTGCATGGTGCAGGACCGCACGACACCCGGGACGGTTGTCGAGGGAGTATTGCAGGTGTGAACCAAGCCTGAGTGTGATGACTGCTTGATTACAATAGCTGGCAGAGAGGATTCCTTCATTCACACTGTTTAGTACGGATGCACCGACATATCGGTCGCCGAAAATGGCACTTTTGGCTAAATGCCGAAAGTGGCATTTTCCTGCTGATACATCGGAGCCTCCCTGCTTTCTCTCCTCCCCGCTGGGCGCTGCTCTGTGTCCCAGCGTGGAGGAGAGAAAGTGACAGCCGGCCGAGCGCTGCGGAAGGGGAGCGCTGTGAGCGGCCGGCATCTCTCCCACACCGCTCAGCCACCTATCACAGTCCGGCAGAGTGGTGTGGGGGCGGAGACAGCCCGCTCTGTCACAGGAGGCTGGGCTCTCCTCCCTGCACTGCTCGCTCAGCCTCCTGTGACAGCGTGTCAGAGAGGAGAGCAAGTGCAAACACTCCGTGATCACTGAGTGTTGGTAGATAATGGTATGTGTACTATACCCTCAATTATGAATGAATGGGAAGTGATCTACATGACCTCCTGTTCATTCATAGTTGTAGTTATAGTAAACATACTCTGTTCTCATGTTATGAATGAACAGGAACACTCAAATATGATTCCTGTTGATTGATAAAGGTGGCCATACACTGTACAACCCTCGCAAGACTTTTGTCTTGCGAGGGTTGTAAAGTAATTTAAAAAAACTTACGATCTGCCCATCTTAGACAGGCAGATCGTACTTGCGATCATCGCAAGCCCGCTCTGCAGGGGGGCGGGCTTCCGATGACTGCAATGCTGAACGGGGAGTGTGCGCGTGCGCACACCGGCCCGTTCGGCAGTTGTCAAACAAGCATGCCTCTAACCCGCCAAGAATTGTACGATTCTCTGCGGGTTTTCCAGCGTGCTTGTTCGACGGAAGACCGTACAGTAGAAACGGTCGCACGCCTTCCATACACTTTGCGATTATCGTACGATCGCGGGATTTCCCGCGATTCTCGTACGATAATCGTACAGTGTATGGGCACCTTAACAGGGGATAAAGAAAAAGAGAATGAGGACTCTGTTCTCGATCTCTTTTTCTATTTTAAAAGGGAAATATCAGGGGTCTGTTTAGACCCCTAATATTCCTCAAAGCCCCTTAAAGTAAAGTAAAAAAATTAAAATATTTAATAAAAAAATGAATTAATAAAAATATTTGATAAAAAAATGAAAACGTTTATAAAAAATAAAATATTAAAAACATTCGAAAAAATTAAAATAAAAAAATTTTTGGTTTCGGCCTGACAATTTTTTTGGTTTCGTTTCGGTTTTTAAATTTCTATTTCGGTGTACCTTTACTGTTTAGTGTAGATGGGGGAGCCAAGTGATTTTCTCTGTTTCATTCTTCCATCATGCAGTCTAGACGAGAGAAAACGTCATGTGTATGGCTGACTTTAGTTGTCATCAAAACCCAATGTCCCTCTATTTCCATAGTGTTGGATTTTCCCTGACTTTCTGTCTAGATGACAGTGGTCACCAGGAAAAAATAGAAAGAACAAATATTCTTAGCAGGGTCACAGACTGCTACAGTATACACATCTGACAGAGGTTTGAACCCCTCTAGACTGAAAAAATAATATCCGGCTTTAGATACAATATGCTGATACAAAAGCTCTATGTATTTTGGAAACATTGCAAAAACAGAGCCTGTTGGAATCAGCCGCTGGCGCTGGCTCAACTGGTTTTGTTCCGTCAAACATGCTAGTGAGCTACAGAGCTATCTGTACAGTGCTAAAATAGTGTCAGTGCAATGCTGAAAACATGTAAAGAAAGTCAGTCTGCTGGCATGGTGGGCAAGCTGTGGTGATGATGCTAGATTTCCTGGCTGTTACTGAAGTTTATTTAACCACACCGAAGCTCCTGTCAATTAGGCATATTATGTACTCATGTATGGTCATTGACTTGCAGTTACAAAATGTAAGATTGCAGATATATGCACTCACTGTCATTTTTATGGGAACCCAACACTTCGAGTGTCAGATCCCCAGTGTCCCTGTCCCCCCTCCAACCCATACTATGTCAGCTGCCTTTGCAAGCACTTCATTGCATAGCCGCTCGAGTTCAAGCACTGAGACATAGTGGGAATGCACTTGTGGAGAGAAATCTGTTCAGGTGAATTCTGCACTTTGTGATCTATTCCACAATTCTGACCGATAGCTGACCCCTTGAAAGTTCCTGTACAGCAGGAGTGGCATGTGATTCATGAAGATTATCACCGTGGTGTTGCTCTCTGTCTGCAGGGTGGTTCATGTAAACAGTGGCTGCACCCTGTAGTGATCACACAGCTATCTAAGCTGTTATAAGGCTAGCATTACATGTTTAACCTCTTGCTGTCCGCCCGTAGTAAAAAAACGGACGGACGGCACTGCTGCATTTGCGGGTTGACGTCTCCAGACGGCAATTTTTTTCTGCTCGCGCGCGCCCCCTAGCGGGCACGCACAGGCAGAAAAGACCCGACCGTTGCACACTCCCGTTACCGGGTGTTTCACATATAGGCGATCAGCGGGTCCATAGCCCGCCGATCGCCTATATGTGCTCGTTCGCGGCACACATCTCTGCTTCATCAGCTTCTTTTGGGGTCCACAGGTGATATTAGGGGTCCTAGAGACCCCTAATGTCTCCATAAAGAGGACCTGTCAGTGTGCCTTTGCTATTATATAGGGGGATTGTTATCCCCCTACCCTATATAATAGCAATAACAATAAGTGCAAAAAAATAAAAGTAACACATAAAAAAGTAAAATAAAAGTCACATATAAAAAAAGGGGAAAAACCCCCCCCAAATGTTTAACTCCCCCACCCCCACGTTTACGCGCCTATAAACGTAAATACGCGTCCGGTGCCCCAGCGCGCAAAAATTACAATTGCGCTACACATGTTACATATCGCCGCGAACGTCGCAGTGAGAGCAATCATTTTAGGGCCATCAATCACTGATAACACTAAACTGATGAGCGGTAACAGCTTTTAAAGCGTCGCCTATGGCCAATTTTGGGTATTATCGTTTTTTGAGGTTTCGCGCGCGCACGCAATTTTAAGGCTTGACATGTTTAGTGTCTTTTTACCCGACGTGACCCCATCTTTTATATTTTACCAAAAAATTGGGTAATAATAAATGTTTTATCATTTAATATAGGGGAAACTGTTTTTTTTTTTAAATTTCGGTAATTTTTCCTTAATATAGTAAAAAAATAAAACCCCCAGTGGTGAATAAATACCACCAAAAGAAAGCTCTATCTGTCCCCAAAAAAGGGTATAAAATTCATTTCAGTACAGCGCTGCATGACGGAATAAATGTCAGTCAAAGTAACGCAGCGCTGAATACTGAAAAATGGCCTGGATGGGAAGGGGGTTCAACACCTCGGATGTCAACTGGTTAAGGCAGAGTGCATTTACATGCCAGGTTGTGAAGGCATTACCAACCTTCTGAGACATTAGTTTATATGCAGCAAATGTATGATTTTTATTACCATTTACTAACAAACTCTTTTTATGCCATAATTATTGAAATCCCAGTTCTGTTTGTATTGTAGCAGCTTTTTTTTTTAATAAGTTTTTATTGAACTTTTTTCACATTTTACAACAAAATAAAACACAGGTTATCACTCAAACAGCAGGCAAGCAATATGACACCAATCCCAAATATAAAAGGAAAAAAGTAAATACCAAGGTATAATCAATACTGTTCCCCCTGACTCAGTAAATAATTGTAGGAGCTTTTAATGTGGCTGAGCAGGAAGAATAGGCCTACAGGTATAGTGCATCATATGTACACATTCCAAGCTGTGGTGGATGCTGAAGAAGGTCAAACATACTGTCGTTATTTTTCTTCCTTTCTGCTTACTAGCAAAGTGAGATGAAAAGGTGTATATACAATTACCTTTACACACACATACTTTATGCGCACATACACATGTTTTTATCATATGTCCTGTATGTGGCGTTTATAGTCTGATCACATTTTAATGTAAAAATAAGTACTCATAACATTGGTCTTGTGGTCAAGGTACCTGAGAAGTGACATTCTGGCAGAGTTTGTGGTTTCTAAATGTTTACCTTCCTCTTTAGTGGAGATTTCATGACCAGTTTTATTGCACTGGTAATGTAATTAGATCAAGAGAATTGCTTCTACCTGTTATATGTATTTACTTTTTACTTTTTCTTTTTTTTAATAGGAATTTGGGATCAATACAAATGAAAAGTTTGTCATTTCAACAACAAACAGAACGGAAGTAACAGCCACAAACTTTAGTAAGTGTATATTATTCATATAAATAGGTTGTGCAGACTGTGGAGAGGGAAAAAAGGTCTGTTTTGGCTACACAATAAGGTGTTTGTCACTTGTATATTCTCTCAAGGGGAATTTATCAATATTGGAGCAGACACAATCTGGAGCAGTTGCCCAGGGCAACCAATCAGCTTCTCTCTTCAGTTTGTTCAGTTAAGATTTGAAAATGAGAGAAGCTGATTGGTTACCATGCACATTTTGTCTGCTCCAGTTTTGATAAATTCCTCTCTCTATGTTCTAGGCCACATTCACATGGGCACATAGGCACCTACAGAGTGCAGAATGCATGTCACAAGGGTTGGCATACAGCCACAGTCAGCAGTCTGTACAAATTACTTACAGGTTACCAGACACATATACCTACACATCTGAGCAATTGCATGCGTATAGCGATAGATGAGTGGCCCAGGATACAGACTGTCTGTGTCCAGGGGCGTGCATCCGTATGTTATTCACACGTGCAGTACCCTATGTACAGCCACAGTTTCTGTCAGCATGATATTGATTTGTACAGACTGATGAGCACTAAGACCTATGACTCCCAGGTGTCTAAACATGTACATTATGCACACTGTACTGGTCATTCTGCCTGTGTGAATTTTATTAAAATTACAGAAAGTGTGCTACTGACTACAAACTCCCACCCCCACTATTCGTTTTTTATTACTTTTATTTTCTTGCTAATCCGGCGACATCACCACAGCTTCTTCTTCCTGCTTCAGGGGGGGCAGGCATTCTTCAGGGCTAATTGGTGCTCTAATCACATATGAACACTGCTCAGTCCTGGGCTCACATGAAATGGGCAGAATGATAGTTTATTTCTGCTTGAAGAGGACCACAGGCACTTGACTAAGAATGACACTTCAGTAAGAAGTCAGGGACCGCGCTGTGGTGTTCAGAACCCTGACCCTGTGTCCCTCAATGAATGATTCAGAAAAGTCGTTTTGAAGCAATTACATTATTTTATATGTATTGTTCCCTAGATCTGATTATAAAAGGTGACATCATTACTCTTTACCTTCTCAATGCAATTGACCAATTACTTCCATCATCAACGAAAGAAAGAATCAGTTTCTTACCTCATTATGATACCTTGGTCAAAAGTGGAATGTACGAGTATTATGCTAGTGAAGGACAAAACCCATTGCGTAAGTACTTTTTTCTTTTAATTTTATTTTCTTTAAACACTGATACAAATGTGTGCATACTGTAATATGACCGTATTCCATGTTTGTCTTTGTGCTTATTAAATCTGGCCTTTCTGGATGCCCCATGCATTCTTATCCTAGAATACATGTGTAAAACAAATCAATTGCATGTGTTTTTGATGGTATATTGCAGACAAATATTTGACTGCCGTTATCTTTTTGATTAGGTTTGTGCAAAACAAGTATTGCTAGCCTTCAGACTAAATGGTTCCAGTCTTCAAGGATTGGATACTTCAGAGTTTTAGGACCTTTTTAACTGACAAAAGTAAATTAAGTAAGATGTGATTTACTGAACAAAATGATTCCCGCATTTGTTTGTAGCCCTGACGTATGTAGTAGTGACGTTGTACAACCTAGACCTTTTATATGTTGCTTACAAAAACAGCTAATAATGGCAGCAAGTTAGTCTCATTTGGATGCATTATATGCACTCCATTTTAGTCCTAGTGCCAGCGTTGTAAAAAAAAAAAAACTACAATTAAGCGTTAAGACTCTATTTATGTTTCTTTTAAATTCTGCCAAAGCTGAACACCAGTTTGAGTCAGCCTACATTGCAAGGTTGGCCATGCATGTTTCCAATAAAAGCGAGTTACCAAGATTTTCTATTATTGCACAGGGCTCCTTGCCAACCTCCATAGCTTTTTATCACTGTCTGCGTCCCCACTGAGAAGATTTAACTTCATTTGCTGTTTTGATGACAGGCTGTCGGAAAGACAGGAAATGATGGGATTTATCATTATTTGTTGCAGGTTTCTGGTTCTCTTTGTGTCTTCCTGTCCTGATAATACCCACACCTTTTATTTATTTTCCTGATGTAGCTAGGACAGAAAGTGAGGGGATCTTCCCCAGTCAGGACACACAATAAAAAATTAAATAAAGTTTGGTTAGCTATGACACCATTTTGTAGATATAAACAAATGGGGATCTGAAATTTTGTCTTCAATATGAGCAAAATATGTCAATTTTAGTGGAATATGAAATATAAGAATATAATCATTTCGATTTTTTTTTTTTGTCTAATGAGCTAATGTTAAAAAGTTGTATACGTTTTTTGAATGCCCCAGGGGGCCAAGTACATGTAGCACTTGATCCTATTATAATCCTTGGCCTCCATGTGCATTAACCGCTTGCCTTACGCACACTGTAAATAAACGGAAGGACGGCAAGCTCCCTCCATTGGGGCGCAGTAAATATATTAATTATTGAATACACGTTGACAGGTGTAAACAGCTGGTAACGACTGTTACATATACACACGCCTTCGGGTGGCACTATAGCCGTATGGTGCCCAGCAGTGTGCACCCCTCTCTTTCCCCTCCCCCCTCCACCGCCGTTACTAGCTACCCTGGGCTCTGCTGTCCCCTCTGCGGGCCCAGGAGCGGCTCGGCAGCTCTGCATTAGGAATGAAGGGAGATCAGCACTCTCCCATCTGCTGATCTATCCTCCGATCTCTGAATGCGGAAGTGGTGTAATATTCAGCTGTCATTTCTCTGGCTGCTATAGCCAGATAAGAAACTAATGAAGCAGATCTGTGCTTCATCAACTTCCTTGGGGGTCCCAAGGTGACATTAGGGGTCTTATAGGTGATTTGCATTGTTTGTAAGCCCAGTTCACATCACTGCGTTGCGGTAGTTTGCTCTGAAAAACAGAACTGCCTGCAGTACTTTTTCAGCGCAGGGTGGTGGGACGCAGCACAAACCGCATTGCTTCATAATTTGGCTGTAGAACTAAAGGAAGTGTAATTTGCGGGTATGCAGCCATTTCGAAGCAAGGATTTTCAATGTGCACATGAGGTCATCAGATGTGTGGAGAAGATCTCTTACTACTTATTTCTTTTGCCATCCTTATTTTGTCATCTGTATCTGTGAACCTATATTGAGTAATATTGTTTTATTACTTGATAGCTTTAAGTTATAATGCATCCTGATTTCTGATACACTTATTAATAGACCCCCCAAATGGGCTTTCTAATTTTCTTTTCAGCTTTCGCTCTGGCAGAGTTAATAGACAATTCACTTTCAGCAACATCACAAAATTCAGACAGTCGAAACATTCAGATACGCCTGGTATGTAACCTTGGCATTTTATTATTTTTCACTGTTCATCATAAAAAAATGTTAATGGCTCAATCTGGTTTTTTGTTTTTTAATATGAATACAACAGCTTTTTGATGAAACTCAAGGAAAGCCTGCTGTTGCTGTCATAGATAATGGAAAAGGAATGACTTCAACACAACTTAAAAACTGGGCAGTGTATCGTTTGTCAAAGTTTACAAGGGGAACTGGAAATTACAGGTTTGAAATAGTTTACAATATTGTATCCGTATACACTGTACGTGATGATTAAGGAAAATCTAAAATAAAACTTGTAGGACAAAGTCTTGTTTAAATATAATTACATATGTTCCTGAACCCTATAAAAAAATGCTTTGTTACTGATGATAAATACTGTTTTCAGCAGCATTGCCTGACCATTTGCCTGATGCCTCCTTTGCTGTAAACAAAGTGTTCCTAGCGACCCTTAGAGGGTGGCCTTTGGAGACAGAAGACCTGGTCTGTATTGAGGAAAATAAGCAATCATTTTTCCATGAGTAGATGTTTCAGAGCACAGCAGGAAGTATCAGAGCAAGCTGAAAACAGGATTTTTCTTCAGAGTTGGTAGCCCTTCATTTTGGCTGCTGCCGTAAATGTATATTTTCTGGTGAAAGTGCAGATATGATTTAAATAAGCTGATGAAAAGGTACGTTACATAGCTGGGTTTTGTAGAGTAACAGAAAGTTATTTTATATTCGTTACAAAATTGAAATTTCAGGTTCTGGTTTATACAATGGTTTAAGTCACTCAGAGAGATTTATTGAGCTAGTTGCTTATGTAACAAAGCGTGTAAACTAATCGGGCTCATTTATGATAGGATTAGGGTTTCTTTTTTTTTTTTTTTTGCAACTGAAAACTGCAGAGCTCTGAGACAGCTAGGCAGTGATCTAGGGAGGTTTTCACACAAACATTGTTTTATATAGGTGCACAGCAACATGTTTGGGGCTAAATTAAATAAATGAATCAAGCTGAAAACCTATAGCAATACTAGCTAATTGCTTCTATTTTGCACTACCCTACTGTACAGTACTGCAAGACTAATTTTTTGATCTATAAGTGCAAAGTCTGTACTTTTGTGCATTCATATGGTAAAGGACATTTTCATTGATTTCTAATACCGTATTTCTAAAGTAAACCGGTAATAGCTTTTCTCATAGACATATTTTAAAGTTCAGTCTCAATAACTTTATTATATTTTTCCTAAGTGATGAAGAAAGTTATGTCCGTCCTCCTCCAGTTATGCGCAGCCTGAACAGCGACATTTCCTACTTTGGAGTGGGGGGAAAACAAGCTGTTTTCTTTATTGGTCAGTCCACTCGCGTAAGTGTTTTGCATATAATTCACATGGAATATATGGTAATGTGAAATTAAGGCTTTAGTTCTACCATGTAATTTGGATAGTCATACAATAGATGGATAAATGCTGTGTGTGTGCAGTGTATTTACCAGAATCATCCACAGCATAGTTTCGCCATGCAGCTTACTATTAAAGCTGAACAAATAGAGTGTAAATTTAGGAGCCATTGGTTTTCTTTTGTTCCCTTTTGGTATGATTTCTAGATATTTGCACGAATCCAGCCAAAAAGAACTCCTCCATTTTTTCCTCGGTATAGGGGTTTCCTGAAGTAAACACTGGTTGGTTACTGCTACTCACTCTTTGAGCATGGTGACTGGTCTTGTATTCTCAACACATATTGCAAATTTTAATATGGATTTTTATTTCTTAAAGATTATAACCAAGACATCAAATTCACAAGATGTTCATGAATTTTTGCTTTCCAAAGAAGATTTTGAGAAGAAAGAAAAAAATAAGGAATCTATATACAGTGGCTTTATTAGAAACAGAAAGGTAATATTTTACAGTTTGAACAGCAGCTAGCTATGTTTGTATCACACACACGTGTTGCATGTGGAAAGCTCAAAGCGGACCTTTACCCCCTTTTCCTAAAAATCACTGCAGCATGCAGCTCTGCATACTGACTTAAAATCTTCTTACATTCATTAGTTAAACAAACATGTTTTTAATTTACTTACAAATAGAGTTCATCTACTTCCTGGTCTAGTTCTGGCACAAATGATGTAAGTGCCAAAGCTTTGCATCCTGGGAAGGCTACATCAGCAGAGCATGGCTGGGAAATCTCATCTGTAATCTCAGGAGATCTCAGGGAAAGGCATTTTCCTCCCCTGAGAGGATGTGCATGATCACCTGTCCCAGTCACATGTGCCAGCAAAAGTAAATGGAGAGCTAGTAATCTGCCCTTAATTAACATGGCCACTGTCAGAAGACTGGGGAAGAAAAGAGAAATAAGGTATGCAAGGAATAGAAAACTTGCAATTATCTAGAAGTATGATTTTGTAGATTGTCATTACTAAACATTTCTAAAGGGGTGTTTGTTGTTATTTTAAAGATATGGGTAAAGGTCCGCTTTAATGTAGACTTGTACTGTGAAAGCTATGCCAAAAATGGCAAATGAGGGAAAGGATTAGTCACCAGGCTTCCTGCATCTTATTTTTTTCCTCAATGACTTTGGATGCTTTTTTCTGCACTGTATTTTTTGTGGAGGCAGCCTTGTTGTTAGAGGAGCAGGATATTGTATCCTCATGTCAGATCTACTCCCCCTAATGACTGTTGATCTGATGACTGGTGAGGTAATGATCAAGCAGTAGGAGCAGTAGGTAATGATCAAGCAGAGACACCAAACATGTGCGTGCAACTCTGGCAATTGCACTCACCCGCGAAATCGCAGAAAACTACCATACCCAAAATTGGCCATAGGCGACACCTTAAAAGCTTTTACCGCTCATCAGTTTAGTGTTATCAGTGATTGATGGCCCTAGACTTGTTGCTCTCACTCGGACGTTTGCGGCGATATGCAACATGTGCGGCGTAATAGGTGCAATCGTCTTTTTTGCATGTATGCGCCCCCGACGCATGTTTGCATGCGTGTATGTATGGGTGGGGACTTTAAAAAAATGTTTTATGGAGACATAAGGGGTCTCCAAGACGCCTAATGTCACCTAGGACCCCCCAAAAGAAGCTGATGAAGCACAGATCTGCTCCATCAGCTTCTTTCCAGCTTCTGAAGCTGGAGAGTGACACAAGAATGCGGAAGTGATGTATTATACAACACTTCCGCATTCTTGCAGAGGAGAGGGGACCGGAGGGAGCTCGTGTACCGAGCTCCCTCTGATCCCCTGTGACACAGGGGACATGCTGATCCCGGGCTCGCACCGGGCACAGCGGAGCCCGGGATCAGCGGGACAACGACGGGGGGGGGGGGGGACACCGATCGGCACCCCATACATGCGATCCGCCGGCTCTAAAGCCGGCGGATCGCTTGTATGGTAACGGGCATCGCTGCCTGGTTTTAAAAAACGGCAATTTCCCGCTCGCGCGCAAGGGGGGCGTGTCTGAGCGGACGTCTAAAGATGCCCCGCTCAGATCTAGAGAGCTCCGTGCCGGCCGTTTTTCTACTACGGCCGGCCCGGGGGCAGTTAATGTTACTTTAAGCAGCCAGGAGGGGATCCTGGCTGTTTCCATCAGCAGGAGCTTCTGGCCAATCCAGAGAGTTCATTCCATCTCCCTCCTTTTTTCCAATATATGTTGCAATATTAATATGTATATAAATGTTGCAATTTGAAGTACACCTGCACACACTGGCATTAACAATATTGCTAAATTCCTTAAAGGGCAAAAGGTTTTTAAGCTATTTCAAATGTTGATCAAATAAAATACAATGAATGATGCTTGTTGATGTTTAACCCCTTCATGACTGAGGCCCTTTTTTCAATTTTTGCACCCTTGTTATATTCCACACGGTGTCCGACTGGGGGGGGTGGCCCCTTCTTCGGGACACAGAAGCAATCTGGCGACAGGTAAGTCGCCAGGATCGCTTCTGTTGTAAAGCCGACAGTCGGCTCTACAAGTTTAAACAGACTCCCGGCGGCAAAAGTCGCCGGGAGTCTGTTTAAACAGCCCCGATGCTGGCGACGTACACTGTACGTCGTCAGTCACGAAGGGGTTAAAAGTGTTAGTTTTTGCAGAATTAGCTGGTCCCCTGAGCACTGGCCCTGATATCCTGTTTTATAATGGCTCCTTTCCCTTGCAAGGTCCTATGGAGCCACCCTTGTATGTGCTAGTAAGCTTTGTGTATCTTCAAAATCACACAGGTACAGCAAGACAAACCATTTCCCACCGCCCTCTCCTCCTTCTCACCAAGCTTCTTGCTGATAATCTTGTAGCCCATCTAGCCTTGTGCAGGTCTACAGTCTTTTCCCTAATGTCCTTTGACAGCTCTTTGATCTTGCTGATGGTGGTGAGATTTGAATGGAAGAAAGAGATTCTGTGGACAGGTGTCTTTTATATACATAATGAGTTGTCGTTGGGAGCACCTTCTTAAATTGACCACATAGCCAGTCTATGGGAGCCAGAATTATTGTTGGTTGGTAGGGGATCAAATACTTATTTTACTCGCTGAACTGCAACTCAATTTACAACATTTGTATCATGTGTATTTTCTGGATGTTTGGTTGATATTCTGTCTCTATCATTTAAAATAAACCTATGATAGACCTTTCATTTCTTTGTAAGTGGGCAAACTGACAAAATCTGCAGGGGATCAAATCATTATTTTCCACACTGTATATGCTGAAGTGCCTCAGAAGGAGTTGGGGGTGGTAAGGTTAATGCCACTATGATAATAAAGTTTGTAGCATTCAACAATTCAGGACTCGCATGGTATTCATTTTGGTTCAGTAGTCTGCTAAGTGGCCTAAACCGCTCAGGTTACACTTTCATGCAAGTTCATGCAACATCATTGGATGTATTTATAGATGTGCATGTGACGTACATTTTAAAGTAGTAAATTAATTCCCTTATAACATTCCATGATTTTATATCATTCGGTTTTCTAGCCAGCTGATTTCTCTCATTTACAAGAAGATGAACGCTATCTTCGTAATCTCATCATGGAAGAAAACACTAAAGATAGCTTCACAGCCATTATCATTACTGGTATTCAGCCTGACCATATACAGTACCTGAAGAATTTTCTTAATATGTGGGCCAGGCAATTGTCGTGAGTATATGCGATCACTAATTCCATTCTATAAGCACAGTTTATGCTATGTATCTATTTTTTTTTCTTTAAGTAATAAAAAGGTTAACTTGCCTTCTGATGTGAAAATATTTTATGTAACAAGAGCTTCTTATTGCAGGCACATCTACCATTATTACATACATGGTCCTAGAGGAAATGTTGTGAATAATCCCAAAGGCAAATTTAACAGCCGCATAGACTTGAAGGTAAATGCAAAGACTATTTTATAATAATATTTGAAAGATATTTTATTTCTAATTCTCAAGTGTCATAAAAAATAATGGAGGCTGCCATTACTGAACTCTCCTGTGAGATCTAGTTCCATGGCTGTAATTCTCATGCTTTGATTTCAATGTTGTCGGAGTTGCTGACCAGAAACAAGTATAAAGTAGTTCCGAAACATGGATATTTCGGAACTGTGACTGAAACATTCTGAACAGACACAGCCAGGTTTTTGGCATTTTTAAGTAGCCTCTCCCTTACTTTCTCATGACCGAGTCACTTTAAGAGGTTGAGTTGTCTATCCTAAGGTATATGTAAACCAAATCAGTAAAAACTTATATAGGCATTAATATGTTCATGTGATTTCAAAAGTCATTTTAAAACTTTTTACAACGTATATCTCTGGTTAAAATAAAACTGCCCTTAAGAGCTGCAACAGTTAATCGATTTAGTAGTTTAAAATCGACGATTGAAAACGTTTTAATTCGTCGGCTATCGATTGATTTGCCTGTTCGGGGGGTCCACACGCGGCCTGAGCCACATGTCACACGCTGCGGCCGCCGTGCCCACCGCACAGGCTGCATAAGCCACGCCCACAGGAGGCTGAAGGCGCGAATGCCGCTGCTCTCCTCCTCGACGCGATCTCCCTCACTCGTCGCTGGCCCGCCGACAATCGAGGGCCCACCATCTGAAAGCAAGTCAGTGGTGGAATAGGTGTACAGAGCTGCAGTATGGAACAGGTGTGCGGGGATATAGTGGTGGAATAGGTGTGCGGACATATTAAACACACCACTGTATAATGTATTATTGCTGGGATTGGTTGTTCCTCTATAGCTTGTGGTATTCTCCATTGCGCTGCACACCACACTCTTTTTTTACTTCCACTGCTCCAGGCTTGCTCCCGTGATGGACTACAATCTCAATACAAACTAGTAGTCCATCACTGGAGCCTTTTTCTTTTCTTTTTTATCCGATTAATCAAACTTAATAATCGGTTAACTAATCGATTATGAAAATAATCGTTCGCTGCAGCCCTACTGCCCTTATTGTCATTTTAATGTCAACATTTGAAAGCCTGAATCCAACACATAGAATGGCAAAGCAAGTATAGGAAATGTGGGAAGCTGTTGTCACCGGGACAGAAATTTTCTCACAAGCTCTAGCCCTTCCCCACTTTACTAAAAATGTTTTTTTTTCCTGTATTTGTTGGACAGATTTACCAACACTTTCTTTCCTTGCAGGACATTGTGTAAAATCTCCCCAATACACAGGTGGCAGTAAAAATCTGACAAAGGCTGTAACCCCTTTTCTGCACTCCGAAACAAAATAAATAGTTTGGGCTTTAGTGTGAGAAAATATCCAGTAAAGATAACCCCCATATGGATGTACTCCTTGGGAATCAGTCAAACAAACTTTGTAAAAATGTATAACAGTTTATTAAATAACAATACAAACACATGAGTTAAAATGTTATTTATGTGTCCTGCTAATTTGTCTATACCTTATTGGACACAAAACAGTTACTGGAGGTCCTGGCCAGACCACATATGGAAAAGATCATGCATGATGGAAAGATAAGCCAATTGCAACTTGATATTCAAGCTATAGAATAGTAATCTTAAGGTGCCCTTGTTCATATGAATACTTTCTATGTGGCATTACCATCTGAAGTGGAAATATCCTATGATCATCACAGAATATAGACTCTCTTTCTATACCAGCTTTTTTTTTTTTCGAAGTGTGACTTCACTTTTAGTGCTGTAAGATTACATAGTTACATAGTTACTCAGGTTGAAAAAAGACACGTCCATTGAGTTCAACCTAATTACTATTCTATAGCTTGAATATCAAGTTGAAATTGGCTTATCTTTCCATCATGCATGATCTTTTCCATATGTGGTCTGGCCAGACCCTCCAGTAACTGATGTGTGTCTAATAAGGTATAGATCATTTGTGTTAGGGTTCCAACTTTAGAGTTCCCCGGGATTCAATCATGCTGCCCGCTTCAGACAAGTACTTGGGAATAAAGAGTCACACCAAATTGTGTATCCACTCTATATTCAAAGGTTTATTGTTAAACCAAATGATTATATAGACAGTGAAAGGGGCGATGGTGGAGCATAAACCAATGGAAAGACATACACGTATACAAAACTAATTATAATATGGACCATAGAACAGCTACAAAGAAAGAAATTAGCTGGACAGTTTCAAGGTCTTATGTTTCTTTCACAAAGATTTGGCCAGGAATGCAGTTTTATCATTTTGGAAACAAGTAAACTAGTTTCTGTAGAAAACACAATTTTCTCTTGTTCAAACATTAAGGCCCCATTCAAACTGAGCGATTTATTGCGCGGTAATTCCCGCGATATCGCGGCTATTTACCGCGTGATATCGCTCTCCAATGCATGGCAATGGGGCTCTGTCCATCGCTGTCGCGGGTCGCTACAGCAGGACCCTTTTTGGAGTGGATTTTGCCGCGATTCTAGCTTGCTCAATGCAAGCATTTGCGCGTCAAACGCGCGATATCGCGCAAAATGCACATCACGCAACAAACACGCGATTTGCGAATCGCTCAGTGTGAATGGGGCCTTAAGTGACAATAAACCCTCAGATTTTTTAACATAAAACAATACTGTAATGTGTGCCCAACTGTAATCCATGGTTGTTTCCCTTCTCTTTGCTGCTCTTCCTTTTAAATTTGTATCTGTTCTCATGCTGGGCAGAACTTCTGTTTTGCAGCAGACTGCCTTGTCTCAGGAATGGATACACGGTGTCTGTGTATAGGTTTGTATAGGCTCGTAACCTGAGCCAGCAATACAGGAAGAGGCACTGAGCTGAAAAGGGAAGTTCTCCCCCAGCATGAGAAGACATGAGGATTTAAAAGGAAGAGCAGCAAAGAGAAGGGAAACTACCATGGATTACAGTAAGACACACATTACAGTATTGGTTTATGTTAAAAAATCTGAGGGTTTAATGTCACTTTAAGTTTTGTGTATGCCAGAAACAGGCAAATGGTTATTTTGCCCTTTCAATTTGGGTTTAATACCCCTTGGAAATTATTCTGATTAGATTTTTGAAGCATTAGTAAACCTTGGGAGCTTTGACCACTTTGGTTCACCCTATATGGGGACCCCCTATTATATATATTTTTTAAATGGGGTTTGTGCTTCCTTTCCAGATGGAGGCAGAGTGTACCATTCTAAATATTGAACTTACTTGGGCTCCATTCACATATAGCGTTTTGCATTTCCCACGTATTTTTCCATGCGGAAGATTGTGCGGTGCGCAAACCCTAAGGCCCCGTTCACAATGAGCGATTTATCACGCGATTTTTGCAGCGATATCGCTCATTTCCAAACGATATCGCTCTATGTAGCTTCTCCAATCCATTTCAATGGAGCTGTTCACATCGCGTCGCTCAATATCGCTTGTAGCTCGTCGCTGTAGCTTGTCGCTCCTACATGACCCTTTTTTCGAGCGATTTTGCTCCTGATTGCATACAGCCCAATAGGAAAAAGTCGCGCGACAAGTCGCTCAATATCGCTCATATAAAATCACGCGGAAAATCGCACGGTTTTCATATCGCTCAGTGTGAATGGGGCCTAAAACCTTTCATCTGTGCGGATTTTGCTTGTTTGCAGCTATTACTATAGCCGAGGAATCTGACAAAAAAAAACGCGCTTGGACTATTTTGCGGTACATTTCATCGCAATACAGCGTATCACAACGCAGGCCAATATGCCACAACAGTTAAATATTATTTTAAAAAGGAAAAACAAAAACAAGCACTGTGATGCATTTTAACAACATGTGCATGGCGTACACTACAATATGATGCACGTGTATGTTGGGAGGCGGGGGTTTGTGTTTTTATTTTTTTTGGATGGGGGGGAGAGGGTTGGCTTTGGGGAAATATTAGGGGTCTAAACTGACCCCTGACCCTTTTTAAATTGAAAAAGAAATGGAGTCCTCAATCTCTTTTTCTGCAGCCTCAACAGTCAATGAATGGAAAGCACTCAGTACAGAGGCTTCCCATTCTTAACTGGTGATAGTAAAACATTTACTATCATTCAGTTTTTGAATGGGTGGAAGCCTGTATACTGAGGCTTCCACCCATTAAGAAACTCATGAATGAACAGGAAGTGATGTAAAGCACTTCCTGTTCATTTAAAAACTGGGGGCAACATAGTTTGTTTACAAACATTGGAGTGATCAGCTAATTACTCCAGTGTTTGCTCTGAACGCAGAGGATCGGTAAATATCACAGATATTTACTGATCCTCCAGCTCGGCCATCCGACCAGCTCGGCATACACAGATGACAAAGCTGCCGCAATCCTGGATTTGACAGCCGGTGGCTCTGATCTCCTCACACACAGCCATCCTGAACTTGCGGCTCCCCAGAGGCTGCAGATGCTGGATTTTTGTTAATAGCGGTCATCAACGACTATTAATTTTAAAGGGGACCGTCGGTGGGAAACGTTCTGATATAAGTTCATGGTCGCTTTACTTATAGCAGAACGGTAAGAGCCACCGACGTGTGACATACTGACGTGGCCAGCTGGAAACACTATTGTTCTGCCGTATGTCATATGTCGGTGGCAGCAAAAGGGTTAAAGGATTTTCTTTTAAGTAGCTGAATATTGATTTCTGTCCTTTTAGAACTAAAAGTTTTTTTTATTTTTGATTTCTACAAGTAATCTGTAGAGGTTTTGAAATAGTAAGGCATAGTATTTTTTTATTTTTTATGCAAAGTGATGCATTTATATCTATTTGTGTCCTATCTTATAATGTTTTTTGTTATCCTGTAGACTAAAGCTGAGAGTGATTGCAATATAGTTACTTCATGATCTCTTCTTTTTCTTACATTTGTCAATCTTCTTGGTTGCTGAAATAATTTAGGCACCATGTATTCTTCTATTCTTTTACAGATCTACGTGTTTGAAAAAGGAAAATCACCTAAGACTATTGACTTAAGAGATGTCTGTGATGACATGCAGACACTGTATATTAACAGTGCTTCTGATAGCTTTGAGTTTAAGGCTCAAGTTGAAGGAGATGGTATAGTAGAAGGGATCGTAAGATATCATCCTTTCTTATATGACAAAGAAACCTATCCAGAAGACCCTTACTTTTCCACAAGTAAGTCAGTGTGTTAAATGTTTTGTTCCTCTTTATTTAAGAAGATGGTTCCTTTCTAATAACTGACTTGTTCAAGATGACTAACAGCACATTTTAATTATTAATGGGCTGTTCCCCTTGCAAGTAAAATTTTGAAAGCCCATTGCCCTACTGTTTGTAGAATGTGGAAGCCCATTTCTTTTCAATTCTTTACTCTTCCAGTGGACTACCATATTACTTTTTTCACTGTAGTCTTTTCAGAGTGGATGAGAGAACAGTACTCTTATTCTTACTGCTGTATACATTATTGTTAAATAACTGCAGCACACAATTTCTGCTGTGCACCCAAAAACCACTTCTGAGATACAGAGACTCGGAGATCGAGCAGTCAATGTGGAATGGCGAGTTAGTAAGGTGGAAGATACTATACAGCCATTTACAGGCAGGCAAACACACTCACTTGGGGAAGAGGGTTAACTGGCAAAGGAGAAGGCAGACAACCTGGGAAACAGGCCTTGTCGCAATAAAATTAGACTGCCCAGTTTCCCTGTAAAAAGTGGACAGAAACAAGCCGGTTGATTTCCTCGAGCAATGTTCAGCAGTGATGACCTGCATAATTGTCGAGCATGCTCACAGAGTCCTGAATGTGTCCCCCCACCTCCAGGTTCCCCACCACACTCAATAGTGTTTCAGATAAACTACAGGGAACGGCATTATTTCTTGCACAGGGCCAGAGATGGGGCACCCCTAAAGATTACAAATACTATGGCCTTTACTCTATTTTAATTAGTCCACAAAAGTAAGAAAGTAACAAACCAAGTTCCAAGCAGTTAAACAAAAGTTCTTCTCCATGGATCTCCAGTACGCCTTGATTGTTCTGGCAAATTAATGTATTCATTACCAGAGTAAGGCACATTACTTCACCTCTAGCTAACACCGCGGAATCTCTTTAACCCCTTAATGACTGAGGCCTTTTTTTCATTTTTTGTACCCATGTTATATTCCACATTTTAGGCCTGAAAATTACTTAAACCCCCCCAACATTATATATTTTCTGAATGCCAAGACCCTATAGAATAAAATGGTGGTAGTTGCAAATTTTTATGTTGCGCAATATTAGCGCAACTCCTTATTAAACCCCAATATTTAGTGAAAAATGTAATTAAATGCCCCAAAACACAACAAAATACCCAATGCCTCGGCCTAGATCCTCCCCTGGATCGGCAGCCACTACAAGAAAATTAGGTCTTATTAGTATATGGTGCATTTTTTACTTTAGGAGATGACACTACAGAACCCTGCCCCTAAGTCTGATGTGTACCCGATTTGAGCAGAGATATGATATCACCCAATGAAAGGTCCCAAGGAGATTTTACTAAATTATTGGGAGATTCTTTTGGCAGACTCAAACATAGAAGAATTCTGGAGTCCATACCCAAGCACGACAGCGAGAAATGCTAAGAGCTTGGGAGATGTTTTAGTTTAAAGTGAATTCCAGAGTTTAAGTGCTGATGTAATTTGTGTAAAAAATTGTAAGAAAAGGAAACATATTTTGGGCTTCTAAAAAAAAAAAAAAAGAAATGACTCCACACTCTTTTATAAACTGCCTGCAATGCATATATCGGAGTGGTATATGAGTGCCCTTGTGGATTACTATACATCAGAAAAACGAAAACAAGAATTAACACTACGTATTAATAAACATGTGCGGGACATTAGTAAGAAAAGAGCCCACCTCTTTACATGTCATAGTAGTCAAGGGTAAAAATACGGTTGCAATAAAGTTAAGTGGAAAAAAAAAAATGTGAATGGCCACTACCCCCCATGCACACGTATGTAAAAAGGTGCACACCTAGGACACCCATGGGTACGTAAGCGGCAATTTCACAGTAAATATTAAGTATTGCTGTGCACAGAGTTAAAGCAATAATTCTGGGGCCATCATTTATGGTTAACTAAAGTGATTTACTATAACAGTTTTTCACTATTCCATTGACACACACAGTTTTGAAGCTTGACATATTTTGTATGTCTTTCCTTAACATTTTTAAAACATTTTTTACAGAATAGGTTTGATAAACCAGTGTGCCGATATTGTGCAACGTAAAAAGCAATTGCCACCTTTCTGTTCTACCGGCCCACTGCATTCAGAAAAATCAATAAATAAATTCTATATACTGTATCATTGGGGGTTTATGTTAGAGGCCAAGATGTGCGTTAGTCTAATCCAAAACAGATAATAGTTATTTGCTATTTAAAACATTTTATCTTGCATGGATGATTTATGAATCTGAAAGTTACTAGTGTTTCTATCTATGTAGAAAAGGGAAGTATTCTGTAACTATTTAGAAGTGGTTCTTTAGTTCTTTAATTGGATTTCCCACTGTTACATCACCTGTGTTTCTAGCTACATCATTGCCTGTCCTTGTAACTGTGTTTGTTTTTCTTATATGTTGTTAGAGTACTGCCCCAGTGGGACACAACCTGCAGCTGAGAAGTGTTCTAAGCATGTAGTTCGAATATATTGAAATCTAAGTGTTCATAATTTTTCCTTTTTAGTATCACATAATTTACCTTGGCAAGCTACAGTTTAAAGGGGGCTATGCTTGGAAGAATGTTAATGTCCTATTTTTTCCTAAACCCTTCATTTTGTAGCAGGAGTGACCTTTTAAAGCTGGGTATACGTGGTTAGAATTTTATTAGAAAAAGTTTGTTTTTTGAACATTCGTTTAATTCTCCAGTAGTTAATGAGGTCAATTTGTCGGTCATTTTGGATCGTGCTGACAGAATGAATCGAAGGAGCCAAAAAACATTTCTTAAAGGAAATTTTAATAGTGAATGTTGTTTTGTTTTGGGAAATGCCCTTCATTCCATAATCAAATGTTAGAATCAAAAGAATTTTCGGACAACATTCTTCAAGTGCCTGACAACATTTTGGAATATTATGACAAGATTTTTTCGTACCAAAGCTCATATGAATTTCTAACCTTGTATATACCCAGCTGTATTCTGTAGGCTGCTTGTTTACCTGGAACTAAAGTTTCTTCTACTGCTGCATAGACATCTGGCAGAATCTCGTATTGCAGAATGACCAGAAAATGCAGTTTTTGTATTGTATTTAATTTGCCTGGATGCACTTTAAAAGCAGTGCCATGTATTATAATGTATTATGGCTGTCTTCTTATAGTGAATTTTACACACTTACCTCTGTCCCTTTTCATACAATCATACTGGTGAGGAAGAGATGTTTTCTAGGTTTCATTGTTTTTTGATTCAACATTGCACTTTTTGATATGTTTTGCTATAGAAAATGAGGATGATGAATTTGATGATGACTGTATACCAGTGGAGAAGGAAGCTCGAGGGAAAAGAGCAATCTTTGAATGTTTTTGGAATGGAAGACTTATTCCATATACCACAATTCATGAGTAAGCATTGTAATTGACAAGTAATTACCTATTGAACTTCTTGAGGGCTTTAAGCTTTGTGTTTCATATACTGTATATAGTAGCATTTAAAAAGGTGTGTGTTTGTGAAAATATATATTACACACACACATTTGTTGAATGTCCCATCAGTCAGTACTTAGCTGTGACTCCTGCAAAGGGAGTTACTATCAAATGTGTAAAAAAAATGTTTCAGTGCATGTGAGGTTGGGATTTCAGTTGTAAATGGTTTACACCCATCTTGCATCTCTAGCATTCTTCTACTACTCACAGATTGTGACTTGCAATAAACCTTTCCCAGTCTTGTACCAGCTGTGGTTTACTTAAATACAAGCTTGTGCATAAAGGTGGGTAGCAAGTTATATGCAAAGACTTGGCACAATGTTGTGTCTGAGTACAAGTTTCGCAGTACCGTATTTTGCGGTCCATAAGACGCACCGTACCATAGGACGCAGGGAGGTCCGGCGCGCCTCATGGAGCACTCGACAGACCGTAGCTTCTGTCACAGCTTCTATGACAGAAGCTGCAGTTAGTGACCGCTGAGACAGGTGGTGCTGTGATGACAGCACCGCGGTCTCAGTGATCACACAGAGCAGACGAAGAAAGTCCGTTCTTCGTCTGCTCTATGGTGATCTCGATCGTCGCCGCTGCTCGGTTTTAATACGAGTGATCTCATCAGATCACTCGTATTAAACGAGCAGTGGCTCCTACTACTGATCTCGATCGCCGCTGCTCGGTTTTAATACGAGTGATCTCATTAGATCACTTGTATTAAACAAGCAGTGGCTCCTACTACTCGCCCGGCGCCCGAAACTGCATGTCTCGGGCGTCGGGATTCGCTCCATAACACGCAGGCACATTTTCCCCCTCCTTTTGGGGGGAAAAAAGTGCATCTTATGGAGCGAAAAATACGGTATATTGTTTTTCATGGAGCAGTGAAAATAAGTAAAAAAGTGAAGTGAGCCCTGACATCTCCTGACCTCAATGTTTAAGTCTGCTCTCAAGCATGCCTAAAGCTTTACTGAACTTTTAAATTAAAGTGGAAGTGAAGTTGGGAAAAACAATTGCCAATCTGCAGGCTTTCTGTGATGGACAAGGCTTTGTAGTCTCTTCTACCATAAAAGCTTCTTTATATTTCCCTTGTATATGCAGAGCCTCGGCATGCTGAGATGAATAATGTGCATACACAGGATTTACATCATCTGGGCTCAGCTAATCAAGCGGTCGAAGATTCAAAACCTGTATTAGACTGGGGCAAGGATGGAAGCCCCAGAGAAGGAGGAGCAGGAGCACAGCGCTTGAGGGGATTGCTTTGGCAGGAAGTTCTGCCATAATATGCTGTGCATACTAGCCCATTAGAACTAAAAGCTCCTGGGCCCCCTTTTTTCAGTCTGCTTTACCTCTTATACTGATCTTGAAATGTAACCCTTAACCTCAAGTATATCCCCTAAAACTTACACTTTACCTTAACTACCTGCTGTCCGGCCGTTGTAATTAAACGGCCAGACAGCGGCTTCTTGAGGGCGGGTGGGCGTCTTTAGACATCCTATCCCGTCCCGCACGTGCCCGCCGCTAGGCGGCGCGCACGAGCGGGAAACCGGCTTTGAATGTAAACAGCTAGCGATCGCTGTTTACATACAAGCGTTCGTGCGTCTATTGAGACGCCCGATCGCTTGTAATATCCGGTCGGGTGTGCGGGCCATAAAGAGGACCTGTCACTGCAAATTGGCTATCACATAGAGAGCTTGCTTGCTCCCTATGTGATAGCAATAAAGTTCAGTGAAAAAAAGAAAGGTTTAAAAAAATTTTACAAAAAAATAAAATAAAAATCACAGATCAAAGCAATAAAAAAAAAATTAAAGTCCCCCACACGCAAACATGCGTCAAGCCCGCCTACGTGCGAAAACGTTGATTACATCCATTGCACCGCACATGTTACATATCGCCGCGAACGTCGGAGGTAGAGCAATAATTCTAGGGTCATCAATCACTGATAACACTAAACTGATGAGCGGTAAAAGCTTATAAAGCGTCGGCTATGGTCAATTTTGAGTATGGTAGTTTTTTGCGATTTAACGGGTGCGCGCAATTTTAAAGCTTGACATGTTTGGTGTCTATTTACCCGACGTGACCCCGTCTTTTATATTTTACCAAAAAATTGGGTAATAATAAATGTTTTATAACAACGTAGGGAGAACAGGGTTTTTTCAAACTTTTCGGTACTTTTTTTTTTATAATGTAAAAAAAAAAACCTGTAGTGGTGATTTAAATACTACCAAAAGAAAGCTCTATCTGTCCCCAAAAAATGGTATAAAATTAATTTCAGTACAGCGTTGCATGACGGAATAAATGTCAGTCAGTACTACAGGGCTGAATACTGAAAAATTGCCTGGACAGGAAGAGGGTATAAACACCTGGTCAGCAAGTAGTTAAAATAAAAGCTCCCCACACACATTACAATCTGATTGTACAATCACTGTTAAATCTACTAACAACCATGTCGTGCATAGGCCTGACTGAATTGTATATTGATTGAGTGGCTAGGTTAGGTAGGTTCACCTACAACATAGTATTGGTAGATCTAAAGTTGATTCTATGGTCAGATTGTAACGTATGTAGTGAGCCTTAAGGTGCCCATACACCTTACGAACATTGCATGACTTTTGTCTTGTGATGGTCGTAAGCTTATTGAAAGCTTGTACGATCTGTCCATCTTGGACGGGCAGATTGTACTTGTGATCATCGAAGCGGGCTTCCGATCACTGCAAACGGGCAGTGTGCGCGTGCGCACAACGGCCCATTCGGCAGTTGTGGAAGAAGCAGGCCTGCTTGTTCAACGGAAGATGTGCGACCGTACAGTAGAAACGATCGCACGCCTTCCATACACTGTACGATTATCGTACGATCGCGGGATTTCCCGCGATTCTCGTACGAGAATCGCACAGTGTATGGGCACCTTTAGTCTCAACCTCTTCTGATCTGTTTTTATCTTCTTGCCGAAGGTATTGATAATTTTTTGTGTGGAGATTGGTATCAAAACAGAGCAGCACAGAGATGCTTTCCAATTTTCTAGAATAGAATACCAATATAAGGCACCATTTGTCCAAATGAGAATGCAAACAGTTAAAATGGACCTATGCTAAAATGTTAAGATATGTCTTGCTGAAAGAAACCTTTTTAAGGGTATAGTATTTTGTTTTCTTGAACGTCACTTCAGGTTCTCTTTAGTTATGGCCATGTGTCATTAAACAAGTTCTCTGCTGAAGGGAGGATCTGAGTTCATATTGATTTACCCTTCTCATTAGCAGAGATGATGTCACCAAGTCCTTCAGACTTCACAGTTTACTGTTTCAGCAAAAAAAAAAGTTACAAATTGGAACTTCATATAACATTAGAAGTACATTTTACTTCAATGAACATTGCTCATACAGTATTTACGGCGTATATGATCATGGCTACACAAATAGATCTATGTGGGGGAAGCCCGTGACACATAAATGGTTACTCTATGTGCTGTGAATGTAAAATAAGTGTGATCTTAAATTTCTCTCCCGTTCATTGAAGGACACAGGCAACAGATCGTAGATCCTGAATGGTAGGGGTAATATCGCCACCTGCAGGAGAAGGACGCTAGGCACAAAACTAAAGACCAATTACAGCCTAGGGGCGGCCCCTGCCGGTGGCCAAACCCCCTACCTGCTGACAAGTCTCCAGTTTTTTGCCTAGCGTCAGGAGTAAGGAGCTAAAAAATTTTCTCTGAAGAATTTTTTTCCTTTCTTCCGTTTGACTGGATTTTCTTCTAGCAAGTGTCCCCAGGGCGACAGGCTGGATGACTGTAGATCCTTGTAGTCTCCCCTGGGTGATCGACGAGCGCATGCAGACTCTGCTACGGTGGGTCGGCTGCGTGGGGTGGTCCTCCCCGACGCCTCATGGGATTCGTCCCGGGAGAGGGACCTTTGACCGGGGGCTCCGGCCCACCGGTCGCGGCTCTC